AAAAATTTTATTATTTAATTAAAATATATAAATTAATAAATTAAATTAGATTTATAATTATAAAATAAATTAAATAATTATTTTTTAATAACTACTTTTTTATTTATAATTTTATATCTAATAAAAATAAATCTTATTAAAATAAAAATAGAAGATTTATTTATTATTATTATAAGTTTTTTATAATATTATAAGATTAAAATATATCTAGCTAAATAAACTAAAATTAATATCTTAAATATAATATAAGACTTATTATAATATCTAAAAGAGTTAATAAATTTTATAAAGCTTTAATTTATATTTTATAATTATAGATAAAATAATCTATATTTTTTTTATTATTTAAATAAGTTATTAAACTTATTTATTATATATATAATTAAGATATTAATATTATCTAAAGGCTATTATTTTTAAAATAAATAGTAAAAAAGAATATTAAATATTAAATAATATAATAATAAATATTATTAGGAATATAAAATCTATTTAAAAAAATATAAAGAAATTATAATATCTTTTAAATAAAAAAAGATTCTTTTAGTTATTTTATTAATAATAATAAATTCGTTAAAATTAGTTTTATATCTTTTTTATTTTATAAATATAATTAAAATAAAATTATAATAAAAACTAAATAAAAACTCTATTTTTAATAAAATAAGAGTTATAGATTACTAAAATAACTTATAATCTAAAATTAGACTTTATTTATTCTATAAAGTTTAATTATTATATTATTAATCTTTAGTAAGTTATTAAGAGATCTAAATTTAATAAAAAGACTTTTATTATTAATAATATATTTATTAGTAATTAAATTAACTAATTAGTAATCTTTAATTAATAATCTTAGATTAATTAAAAAAGTAATATTAATTAGAGAAAGGATATTTTATAAAAGTAATATTATAAATAATATTTATTAAAAAAATATAGATAAAAAAGATATAAATATCTTAATTTATTTTTTTATATTTAACTAAAAATTATTTAATATAATTAAAAAGGATTTTTTATTATCTTTTTTAATCTTTATATAATAAGATTAAATAATATCTTTTTTTTAGCTTTTTTTTAGCTTTTTTTTCTCGTTTTTTTTTAGCTTTTTTATATTAATAATTAATTTTTTTAATAATAATTAGATCTAGTTTTTAATTATTTAGTTTTATTAATTTAATAAAATAAAGATATATAATAAAGAAATACTTTTTTTTATATATATATTATAATTATCTTTTTAAAGTCTTATTTAATAAAAAGATTATTTAATTAGTAAAAAAAGTAGCTAATTTAGCTTTCTACTTATTATTAAATATTATAAAAACTTTTTATAAAACTTTACTCTTTAATTTCTTTTTATTAAAAAATATTTATTTAAAATAATAAATATTAATAATATTTATAAAAATAGTCTATTATTTTATTATAAATATCTTAATATATTATTAATAATAAAACTATAATTTATAAAATATTAATACTTATAAAAAGTTATAAATAATATTTTCTTTAGATTTAGTAAAGTCTATATTTATTATTTTATATTTTATATAAAGATTTTTAATTTTTAATAATTATATATTAATATTTATATCTTTAATTAAAATAAAAAATAGTTTATTTTATTATCTTTTAATAAATTATATTTATATCTTATTAATAAAAAAAAGTATTTTTAAAATATTTAAAAAAGCTTTTTTATATTCTTTATATTAACTACTAAGCTTTATAATTCTAAGAAAAAGAGGTATTTTATTCTTTTAAAGATTTTATTAAATAATATTTAAATAATTTAATAATCTAATAAATCTTACTTATAATTATAATAATTAGTATTATAATCTATAAATATTTTATTAAATAGATAGTTATTTATAGGATTTTTAGTATATTTCTTATTAATTTTAAATAGTTATTTAGATTTTATTAGAGAGGAAATCTAGCTTTTTTTTAAAGTTAATAGATCTAGATATTATTATACTTTTAGACTCTATTTAGAATTCTTTATATCTAAGAATTAGATTCGCTACTAAAATAAAGATCTAAAGATTATCTTTTTTTTATAGATACTATAGTCGGTATCTAAGAAAGTAAGATTATTATAAAGAAATAATATCTTAGTATTATAGTACTTATTCTTTATATTATTCGGAGGTAAGGAAGAGATAGGAAGTAGATTAGATTATACTTCGTCTTAATATATTAACTTATTAACTTTTTATATACTTCTTACTTAGAGATATTAGGGGTTATTAAAGGCTTAGATAAGCGACTAAGTAATAATCTTATAAAGAAGAGTTACTAGCTAACTTAGCTTATAACTATCGAACGAAGGAATAGGATAAGTGACTTAATACTAAGATCTTACTATATCGAGCAAGTGGTAAAATGAATGTAATTGTTAAGAAGTACAAAGTCTTCTCTCTATATATCCCTAAGTGCTTACTAATAAGCAAGAAGTGGGTCCTGCTTACATATAAAGGGAAAAACTAGTAATGACGGGACAGGCAAGGAGTCATTCTGGTCGACATATTACCTATCTACGCAAATAGGATAATAGTAAAAAGATAGGACGTAGATACTAAGAAGCTATAGCGGCTATAGGTAAAGTAGGCCAAGGCTTTAGAAGTACAACAACGGGAGTAAGAAGCTAGGGATTTAGCTAAAACTAAGCATAAAGCTAAAATGGGAGCTATATATAGGAATGGTCTGACTTAGTATACTGATAGCCGTGGGAGTTATTTGTAAATAGTATTTTAGTGCGTTGAGAAATTGAAATTTGGCTATCTGGTGAAAAATGGCTATCTGGTAGGGCGTACTAACACCAGGAACCTGGTGTTGGGCGCTTGGCACGGCTATGGTTATAAATAGGTTTTAGCCGTGCCAAGCTGACCAACACCAGGTCCCCTGGTGTTGGTGCGCCCTACCAGATACCCATTTTTCACCAGATACCCATTTTTCAATTTCTTAACCTACTAAAATACTATTTACAAATAACTCCCACGGCTATCCGTATACCAAGTTAGACCATTTCTATATATAGCTCCCATTTTAGCTTTATACTTAGTTTCAGCTAAATCCCTAGCTTCTTGCTCTCGTTGTTGCACTTCTAAAGCCTTAGCCTGCTTGGCCTATAGCCGCTGTAGCTTCTTAGCCTCTACGTCCTATCTTTTACTATCATCCTATTTGCGTAGATAGGTAATAGCACATTGCCTTTCGACCTAAGAATTGATTTCCTATTTTTAGGCCGGTTTGCAGCTGATTTATAGGCCTAGGACTTCTTCAAAGCGGCCTTCACTAAATCTAGCTCTTAGGTTAAAAGCGTATTTGTATCTATACTTCGTTAGATATACCTTTTTATACCCCTAGATATATACTCGATTTACTCTAGATCCTTAATAAGCTTAGTATTAAGCTTATTAACCCGCTTAATTATATCTAGCGGCGAGTTAGTAACGGAACTAGAGATATTTAGGGGGGGATAGCGTAAAAAACCGAAGGGGGACCCTTCTAGGTCTAGGTCTCTTTAGCGGAGAGGTTTAAGAACTATATCTAGATCTAGGGGCTAGATTCCCCTAGATCTAAATAAAGATCGGATGGTTCTTTAGGTTAAAGATTTATCCCTAACCTCTTAAATAATCCGGAAAAAATCCTATTTTTAGCTTATACTTCTATCCTATATAGCGATCTCGTTATTTATCGTACGGAAATAATATTTAACGCTTTAAAAGGCTTAGCTATCGAGCGGTTAGTAAAGGTAGGTTATATAGGGTATAAAATAGAACGGAATAATATCCTTTTAGGTATAAAAATCGATAAATTCGAAGGTAAGGTAGGAACTATAATTATCTATTAAAAGAAGCCGTAGCCTACCCCTTTTTACTAAATTAATAGTAGCTTTATAGAAGGATAAAAGCTATTTAAAGATAGTTTTATTATTAATAAAGCCTTTAGGGGTAGGTTTAATCCGGAAATCGGTAGTAGTGATATTTTTATACCACTCCTCTATATAAGAATTACCCTTAGGTAAAAACTAAGATAATATTAACTAGCTATTTACGGAGACGTATTTAATACCGGTAATCGATTCCGATTAACCTTTACTAGCGATATCACTAGTAGAACGAGAGGTAATAACCTTTCGCTACTTACCTTCACTAATTCGGTAGCCGGTTTTATCCCAATTAAAGATCTTATTTAGAAGGAATTAATACCGGTTTATAAGCTTAGTAAGCCTATTAAACTATAGAAGCAAAGCACCGTAATCTTCACTATCTACCCTTACTTTTTCTTTAGGTTTTTAGGTGATATAGTTAAGATCTAGGGGTAGTCTTTTAATAAAACGGTATACCTAGTTATAGCCTACGGTCCGATCTTCACTAGCCTTTTTTAAGATCGAATTAGCGGCATATTCTACCATATCTAGGGTAGGTGAGGTATGCGCATTGTCTAGGACTTTGATCCAATTAACAATTGCCCTTTCTTGAATTGTATTTAATGCCTTAGTTGTTTTGGCACGGTCGGAGTTAGACTGGCGTCCGTCGATCCGGCCCTATAGGCGATCACGAGAAACCCTAAAAAGACGGGCTAAAACAGTGATTTTCGGGTTGGTGGATTCATGGTATGCTTTGACGGCATCCTGGATTCGATCCTCGATATTTTCAATTGAATTTGACATCGTGGTGTAGTAGAAAAATGTATGGGAAGTTGGTAAAAAAGAGAAAAATGGGTATCTGGTGAAAAATGGGTATCTGGTGGGGCGCACCAACAACCGGAAGGTTGTTGGGCGCCTGGCACGGCTACTGCACTCTTTTTAGGTATATGTGAAGGCGGAAAAAGCATCAACTAGTACATACTCCTACGCTTTGCACTTCTCTGATCACTTCCCATCAACATCTCTTGCCTTCTTCACTCCCCTCCAAGCACCAGCTCTACAAGTCTTTTATTCGCCATCAAGACATCTTTTCCATCGTTACAAATCTAATCAAGCCACCATGAAAAATCTCGAAACTGCAGAGTTCGTATGCGGCCTTGAAGGCACAGACGTCACTCTTGATCCACCACCCGAGCCGCCTCTCCACCTGGCCCACCAAACCTGGGTGATTGAGACGAAGCTTTCTGAACGATCTCAGCCGATGACGCAGGAGGACGTTAACGATGGCCTTGGACTCCCGTTTGCAGCTGCTAAGTTTCTCTGTTATCCGAAAGAAACTCCTACTAAGAAGGCCTTTATGCGGATTTATCTTCAAATTCCTGTCGCTGGCATTCAATATGAAAGCCGCCAGATTCGACAAGAGCAGGCTGCTAAGCCACAGCCACACGTTGAGTTAACAACTTTGAAAGCGCTTAAGGAATTTGAATGCGATGTTGTCCCTGACCTCCTTGCTTACCAAGAGGGAAAGCAAAGCGAAGAAAGCATCGTCCCGGGAGGTTATATCACTTATGTGGTCTGGGACAAAGTCCCGGGAGAGCCCCTAAACGCAGAAGAATTTTGGGAGCAAGATTTCAAGTCACGCCAAGCGATCCGGAACAAATTTCGTGAAGCCTTTCCGTAAGTTTACCGTACTCTCTGCCTAGCGTGCTCTTGATTGACATGGGAATCAGAAAGCTGAAGAAGTATGGTTACCTACCGCGTATGTCAACCATGTCGAAGATCATCTACGATAAGGCAACCGGGGATATGTACATTCTATCCGTTATTGAGTAGCGAATATTATAAGCTGACGGCAATTAGGCATTTCTCGGGTTTTTCACGCGCAGGCCGTACTGATGCAAACGAAAAGTGGCATGACAAGTACTATGTTCTTTTTCGTTTGGCTAAGCCGCCTCCAAAGACGAATTGGGCCGAGGATACTACAGGGTGGACTTGGTGAACAACGAAGTGACTAAGAAAGTCAAATGTGTATTCGATGGACAAGTGCGAAATTCAGTATTCCCGGCATCGTCACGTGCAGGGATCCCGGGTGTTAACTATGACCCGTTCCGGCGGGGTTTTTCGGCAGAACTCGAGGTATATTATCAACTTCGGTCAGTTACTCGGTAGCTAAAGAATTAACATCCAAGGCCAGACATGGAGCAACAAGGTCATCAAGTACACCCCAAGATTAGACGGCCCTGAGGCTGAATCCCACCTCATTGGCGATGAGACAGGTCTTCAGGGTGTTTTCAATCATTCGGTGGGATTTATGGTTGGAAAAATCTTAAGGGCCCAGTCAATCGATCTACAGTTTGCGGATTTCAAGTGCCTTGGAGACCTTGATCCCAAAACGCCTGATAGCATTCTGATGACCTCTAATGCTCATCTAAAAGGTAGTTGGGGAACTTAAGGTGCCCTGGGTGCCCGCACATCAAATGAGCGAGGCGTATGAAGAGGAAATATAAAAGAAATGTAGGTTTAGAATAGGCGGAATGTATACGGCACGAAAGGCGGAAACTCCAGCGGTGAATCTTATAAATGTATTAATAAACGTTGTCAAATTTGGCCGAAATCGTCTGCCGTAAGCCTCCGCCTAACATTTATTACAATTAACACCAATCATTCTACATACACTATGGTTTACTACTACCACAAGCAATACATTCAAAGCAAGACCATCCAGTCATTATTGATCCTTGATACCATAAAGATGAACTCAGGACATGTCACCCATCAGATCTTCATCCATCTCAAGTCCAGCCTCCCCCGCTACAATGGGATTGATTTCACTAGAACCTGACCAAACCTGACCCTTATGTAGGCTATCAACGTATTCATCACTTAATCCCAGGTTATTATTGGTTTCCCCAAGATGAATCACCAGTGTCTCCATCAGCCTCATCTCCTGCTTGAGTTGGGACTGTAAGTCCAACTCACGAGAGAGATGAGGTAATGAATGAATGGATGAGAAACGTAGCATGGAAGCCTCAGCATGATCTTTGGTCTCCACCAATGTCGCGTTCAAAGCACTAGACATGACGAGGGATGAAACAGCGGACCCAGTGAGTTCTGCACACACAGGGGAGGGAAACACCTGCTTGGAAAGGTCGGCCATTGTTAAAGCTGCAAAGGTCTTCCCAAGCTTGATGACAGTTTGACCGAAAAAAGCACCCACTACCTGGGAAACGAGACCGAGATTATTGTCCTAAAGCGGTGAGATTAGCCCTAAATGTCAAAACGACACAACCTGTGTTAATTAGAGCCACCACATACCGCACACCAGATATTTTTGGCAGCATCAATTTCAGCATTAAGTCTCTTCAAATCACCACGTTCAAATGCATGAGCAAGAATGATATAGGGCCTCGCAAGTGATTGGTACACTTTCACCACATGAGGTGTTGTGATGCTTGGAGGTGGACAGAGCTGTTCACGAAAACAGTTAGCCCAAGAAAACAATAGGGAGATTGCTGTCGGGAGTTTATCTTCTTTTCTCTTTCAGCGAAGACGAAACTCACCCTGCCATTTTCGAGTAAGCCAACTAGCACCCATTTTTTGTAAGCTTCCACCATAATCAAGCTCACAGAGCTAGTACCAGGCGTAGAGATGACAATCCCAAGGAAATGAAGTGCATTGCGCCACTCCTTCAACGCCATGTACACCATACCACCATAAAGGAAGTACTGCAAGTAGTCTCGGTATGATAGCTTGGATGAAACCCCAGAAGCTTCGGTCATAAAGGATACACCTAAGCCGTTATCTGCGCAGAGCACAGAGGAGTCTGAAGAGGGACGCCCCCGCGAAATTGGGAAATGACAGATTTGCTTATTCAAGACAGGCAATGCACAAGAATATGCTCTGGCCTGGAGGCAAAGCCGGACAAGCAAAAGGTGACTCGAAGTGAAAACGGCACATGATGGGTCAAGACGAAGCATAGCGTCCTTAACTAGCGTAGCACCTAGTAGTGGCTGTAGTATGGCTAGGTTAGCAATTGAACCCAAGGAAAGTTGGAAAATAGCCGACTTGCCATTGATGCAGCTTGCGAGGCTTGCCCCACGAGTTCAACAAGAAGACGCCATTCTCGTCCAGCGTATCTGACTTGAACCCTATCGAAACTGGCCAAAAAATGTGCAGCGCATGTCCATAGCCTTCCTGAGGGGCGGAGATCCGCTGGGAGTGAATCGGCATTTAGTTCCTGTGCCTTTTGTATTTGTACTCGTAGCACGAAAAGATATGGGATAGAATCTATCGCTGGGTCAAAACGCTAAAGACAGATGTATATTAGCTGCGAACCCATAGAACTTTTCATACAGAAGACTCGACATAAATAAAGCTGCTTACATCGAGAAAAGACTCATCATTGGCAAATGAGTCGAGTGCTTCGGTCTTTTGTAGCCGTCTGAAGTAATCAACTAGGTCGCGGATGCGACGGTCATACTCGTCGCTGGGTAGATGGTTAGAGTGGTGTAAATTTGCCGATGCGGATATAATATCCGAGAGGAGTGTCATCCTGGCGATGTAGCAAAGGAAGAGCACAAGATAATTGTCAAATGCGCAAAGGTAGTTTTTTGTTTCCAACCAGTTGGGGATATCTGGATATCTGGATATCTGGATATCTTGATTCTCAGGCTTGCAATACAATGGAGACACTCAAGGTTGGATGAGGTAGGGGAAGAGCGAAAGGGGAAGAAAAGAGAATTTGATGAAGTATCTGGTCAAATAAGGCTAGGTTGTATGGTAAAAGAAATGTGACGTAGGGTGTGTTATTGGGATGATGGGGGAGAGATTGGAGAGACCTCGGGGAGGTGGGTAAATCCGAGAGACGAGCGGGAATCGATAACGTGCCCCTCACACATTTGTTTGACTCAACTTATATTTTTCTTCCTTTCTTCTTAAGTCTCTAAGTCTTCACGACTATCACTTCTTTTCCCGCACTTACTGTTCAATCCTTATATGAGCAGAAATTATATTTGAACATCATGCCATTGACCGAATCTACAGCAGTTGATGCCGCCCAGAGCGCATCACTTGCCTCTCGTCGCCTTGCAACTTTAAACAATGACGATCGAAATAAAGCTTTGACGTTGCTCCATGATGCATTGGAAATGAACGAAAAGGAGATCCTTGAAGCCAATGCTAGGGATGTGGAAAGTGCTACTATTGCGGCCGAGAGCGGGAATTTGAGTCATAGCGTGCTCAAGAGACTTGACCTGTCGCGGCCTGGAAAATACAAGGACATGCTTGATGGAATCTTGAGTGTGCGAGATTTGGATGACCCTAGTGAGTGCATTTTCTAATCTTTGAGCTTCACAAAGATAAGAGCTTAACACGATACAATCATAGTCGGAAAAGTGACACTCCGAACCCTCCTTGACGATGGTTTGACACTTGAAAGGGTCAGCTGCCCTATCGGTGTGCTGCTGATTATATTCGAGGCCCGTCCAGAGGTAATAGCAAACATCGCTGCATTGGCTATCAAGTCAGGTAACGCTGCTATTCTGAAAGGTAACACGCACGCCCCTTATGAAGATTTCATGATATTGTTCAATTGACACAAATTTCCAGGTGGGAAGGAATCCATGGAGTCCTTTGCGGCAATCGCAAACGTTGTCTCCAAAGCTATCGCCGAATCTCGGGTGCCGGTGTCATCGATCCAACTGGTCAAGACACGCGATGCGGTGTCTTCTCTCTTGGCTCAGGATTCGCTGATTGACCTAGTCATTCCTCGAGGTTCCAACGAACTTGTTCGTTTCGTGAAAGAGAATACGAAAATCCCTGTGCTTGGACATGCCGATGGCCTTTGTTCTGCTTACATACACGCCGATGCTGTTATCGATACCGCAGTGAAAGTGATTGTGGATTCAAAAACGGACTATCCAGCGGCATGCAACTCATTGGAGTCCTTGCTTGTCCATGAGGATACCCTTGAATCTGTGTTCCCGGCGGTAGCTGCTGCTCTCCTAGAGAAAGGCGTGACTCTTCGTTGTGATCCTGATTCAAAATCTGCATTGACAAAGACATTGCCAGCCGAGAAATCAGCGCAAGTACAAACGGCCACCGAATCCGACTATAACACCGAGTTTTTGGACCTTGTGTTGGCAGTGAAAACAATTCCCTCAACCGACCCTCCGACCACGGCCGTGGAGGCTGCCATTGCCCATATAAACATGCATTCATCCAAGCATACTGAGCTCATTTTGACCCAGTCAAAAGAAGCGGCGGATATGTTCATGAGCGGAATTGACAGCGCGGGTGTTTTCTGGAATGCATCTACTAGGTTTGCCGACGGCATGCGGTTTGGATTTGGTACCGAAGTTGGCATCAGCACCAACAAGATTCATTCCCGAGGACCGGTCGGACTGGAGGGCTTGACGATCTACAAGTACTTGATCCGGGGAAATGGTCATGGGGCAGCGGACTATGGTGAAGGAGGGAAGAAATATCTCCATACTAATCTGCCCATAGGCCAGTGATCGCCTCCAGTGCAACGCATCAATAGAAGGATATCATTTTAAAAAGATTTTTTTTTTCTTGCTTTCTTTGAAAAATCCCATAAGAAAAAACTTAGGACAAAGCCTGATTCAATTTTCTTTTGCCCCTTCATTCGTAAATTCTCATTTCCCAGGCCAACCAAAGACATCCCGCCACTTTTAAGTACACAGACTTGAGGTCTCTGGCTAGAACTGGAACGATTCCAGGCACCGAGAAAGTCAATGTGGCCAATGCATCTTTCACAATACATACACACCACATCATCCTCGTCAAGTCCCTTAAACCTTGAAACCCTTGGAACGTCTGCGACCACGAGCCCGCTCGAACTTGCGGCCCTTGCTTCCCACGTACGGCTTCTGTTTTGAGTCAGTAAATTTGAATCACACCATCTCATTTGCCAGTCGTAATCACGCACCTTGTCGGTGTGAGGACCGAAGCCGAAGTGCTTCACGGCCTCACGGGCGTTCTTGGGTCCACGCAGGAGGAGAGTGTTGGCACCGGTAGGAGCACGGAGAGCAAGCTGGTCAAGGGTCAAAGTCTCACCACCGGCCTTCTCAATGCGAGCGCGAGCGGTAGCGGTGAAACGGAGGGCAGCAATCGACAGCTTGGGAACGGTCAAAAGGCGGTTGTCATCGGTGACAGTGCCGACAACGACGACGGTCTTGCCCTTCTGCGCCTCGCTGATGTTGGCGACAGTGCGAGAAAGGGAAACCGGGGGGCGGTTGATTCTCGACATAAAGAGACGACGGAGGACGGCCTTGTTGAAGTTGGACTCGGTGCGGCCTATCATACATCCCATATCAGCCTCACGAAAATCCTCATATAATGGTACACCTGTAAAAATTGCGCTGCAAACGAAATTCGGAATCGGGGGGAGTCATACGAGCCAAGAAGCGGTAGAGCTTCACCAGAACCTTCAAGTAGACGTTGTCGCTCTTGGGAGCCTTGCGGTGGCTGCTCCGCACATGGTGGCGGTCCAGGTCGATACCTGCAATTTATGAATTGTCAGTGGAATGGACGGAGAACGAGAGAAAGAAGCAAAGGTTTCGAATGAACGCTGCGAGATGCGATAGTCGAGTCAATGGAGAGAATTTAACATACCCATGGCTGTGTATTGGTCGACTTCCCGGGAAATAGCTTGCTGTCGCACCCGTATGGAAAGTGCAGGAGGTTTTTGATCCTTGACTTTCGGCTGGACAGTGGTGTGTGGGTTTAGCCCTACGCTAGACTTGACTAGGAAAGGCGAGGCACATGACCTGGCTGTAACCACGTGACTCTTTCAAAGAACTTTCTCGTTCTGATTTGCCACATGGTCACGTGATTGGTGGATCTTGGTGCATTTAGCGCTGGAGCAGAGAATTACTCCGTAGACTTCTGCTAACTAGTTATGGAGTATATCTACATATCTACATATCTACATCAAGATCATTTTTGTCCACTCTTGTTTAAGTATATCTGCATTGTGTATAATCAAATGTTCTGTGTAGTAATAAGAAGAAATATCTACGTACATACATATATTATTTGAACTATTCTCTATCATTCAAGCCGACAAAGAAATCACGAGTCATTTCAAAACTCAACCAGCTGCTGGCCATACTGGGAGCAACTTTCAAAAGATTTGGCCCTATCCCCTTGAAGAGTCCACGTAGTCCCTCTTCAGCCACGATGACCCTCACGGCATCCCAGATTGAGGTGTATTGGTAACCCATTCCCGACATTGTGTTGATTTGGAATCGTCGACGTAGTACATCACTAAGGGAAAAAAGTCAGTTTCACAGGGCTTAAGCCAATAGAATAAAAGAACCGACAAAGGATAGGTACAGGTCTGAGCGACTGCTCCAGAGATCGCGCCAGCCAATAATTTTCGATAGGAGCTAGGGTTTTTGTCCCCTTCCGGTGTTAGATACTTGCGCACCGATTCGTAGGTCATGAAATTGAGTCCCACCTGTCGCTCATCAGTTGTGTCCAAGTCAAATTACTTGATAAACTCACATATGGGGCAACTCCAGCAACGGTAGGTGCAATTCCACGGTATAAAGCCTTTGTCCCACCTTCATTTTTATAGATCATGGCCATTGTAGTGAACATGCCTGGCAGTTTTTGGCTTGGGTCTCTTGCTCCAAGATCGGCAAAGGAGGCGGATTGAATGGAAAGCCGGGTTCGCACAATGTCCAGAGGATAGGTGATAGTCACTGAGGTGATGCCAGCAACACCTCCACAAACAAGGCGACGCATTGGGGTCATCTCACCATCAGGAGACTCTACAAACTAGATCAAAGAAATGTCAGTTTACACCTAACCTTGGGTCTACATGGATAGGAGGCCACTCACTTGCTTGTAAAAATTATAGCTCCCAAACTGTACCGCGGAGTAAGGGATAATGCGAATACAGTTTGTTCCATTTCCTCGCATGAAACCACGCCAGCCTTCTTCCCGTCCCATCTTCACCAAGGCTTTCCAGATTGATAATCTGTATTCTGTTCGACCGACACTTTGAATTTGAAGCAGAATCTTCAATCGTTCGAGTGGTGACACTATTGTTCTGGAAACTGCACCAGCCACTCCACCAGCCATAAATGCAGCCACCACAGGTTCCGCGAGGTTTTTTCTAGTCCGAACCAACATTGAGGGAGTTTGCTCAGTAATCAGCTCCTGCTTTAAACAACCAGTCAGCATCCTGGCTCAAATTTTGGGGTTGGAGGGGCGGAAGGGGATCCTTCTCACCCTGGCTGGATTTGAACCAGAGGGAAACTTGGACAGATTCTGCAAGGCAGGCTTTCCTGTACCATTCAACTCCTCTTTCTGAACAGCATCCTGGCGATCTAGGCTCATGTTGACGATATGCACATCCGGTCACGCGGATGAGGTTGATGATAAATGTGTTTTGCTGTGTTATAATTTCCCGCAATTCTTCGAATCAGAAAAATGAAGCTTGACTGTTGCTGCAAATCAAATGCGATAAAGCACTATCGGTGTAGTGCTAGCCATGAAGGTTGGTTGTTTTCCGAGGCTTGGTGATCTAAAAGCACATCGTTGATCCTGTATCGAGTGGATTGCTTGTTTCAATGGCCATGTAACTGAGGTATAAATGGTGATGTTGATAGTGACGTTGCCAAAATAAAATAAAATAGGAGAAGTAAGCTCAGAAAGAAAGGCCTTTTTCCTATGATCGGATGGGTTGTTGGGCCGGAGTTGCTGGTTTTCCCTTTCACTGTAAGAGATGTAGTTGGATAGGCGAAAAGAAACAAGAGACAAGAGACAAGAGACAAGAGACAAGAGACAAGAGACAAGAGACAAGAGACAAGAGACAAGAAACAAGAAACAAGAAACAAGAAAGAAAAAAAAAAAAAAAAAAGGTCTCACAGATCAGTGAGTTTGGTGTGTGTATACTAGTTGAAGGGTGTCTTAAAGGTGAGAGAGAAAGAGAAGAACATCCCGACTTACCGACAGACACGGTACCTCCCGATAGTCCCGCCACTTATATTACGTACCTTGGGGGTCCACGGCTGAGCTAACTATACAGAGACTATGTACTTAACTAGTTACATACAACTATAGTTACTTATTATGCAACATCCCATTGTAGACAGAAGATAGATTAAATCTAATTTATGAATTTCTTTCTTTCTTTCTTTGAATTTATATCAGCTATGTTTTTTATCATAAAAGATAAAAAAAAAAAAAAAAAAAGAGAAAAAAGAGAAAAGAGAAGAAAAGAACAGAAACAACCCCCAAAATCAATTGCGTCATTGGCATGTTTGATCCACCGTAGCACCTTCACCACCAATTCTTTCTGTGTTCTTTCTCCAGGGCTCTCTCTCTCTCTCTCTCTCTCTTTTTATCTTTACCCTTTATCCTCTTGAAGCTTCTTAAGCTCCACCTCCTCTTTTCAATTTCTTCTTCTTTCCAACTGACCCAATCTTCTTTCTTTTTCATTGCTCTGTGCTAACGGCACCATGTCTTCTCGCTCTGGAACTACTCTGTATGTTACCGGGTTTGGCCATGGCACCCGTGCTCGCGATCTTGCCTACGAATTCGAACGGTACGTGTCGCCTCTACCTTCGCACCTACGAACTTCGATTCCTATCCTTCCGACGACCTCCCGATGAAAGATCATTGGCAGTATATATGCCTTGGACGACACTTCTTTTCTTTCTTCCAACTAGCGTGACATTGGCGTGGAAGCTTCTGTCTACATTGTCCCGTCTCACTCGGGCAACTGTTAGCTAGTCTTGGGTCATTTCTCATCATAATTTCTCTCGATACCGGTACCTGAAGCTAGCTCAACTGATTTTGGAACTAGTTATGGGCGTCTTGTTCGCTGTGATATCCCTGCCCCGCGCACTCCATCCAGCCGACTGTGAGTTGAATGATAAATGTCTAAAACTGCTTTACCTGTCTAATCTAAATCGCTTAGCTTTGCTTTTGTTGAATACGAGAGTCGCCGCGATGCTGATGATGCTTACCATGAGATGCACAACAAGCGTATCGGCCGCGATGATCTCCTGAAGATTGAGGTAAGCATACTCTCCCCACTCCCAAAGCTTTGTCAAATCTCTTTTTAACCTATCTCTAGTGGGCACGCACTCCTCCCTCTGCTTCCTGGCGCTTTGACTCTGGCTCTGGTCGTGACGCTCCCCGTGACGCCGGTCGCGATGCTGGCCGTGATCGTCGCCGTGATCGCACTCCTCCCCGCCGTGGTCGTTCCCCATCCCCTCGTCGCAGCCGTGGTGGCGACTATTCCCCCCGCCGAGAGGACCGGTATGAACGGGACGCCGACCGCACCGACCGCGACTACGACCGTCGCGACCGTGATTCTGACCGCCGCGACCGTGACCACGATCGACGTGATCGCGACCGTTCTCGTGACCGTTCTCGCAGCCCCGATGACCGCGAACGTGATGGCAAGGATGACCGGGAGAGACGCGATGATGATCGCGAGCGTCGTGAGGAGGACCGTGAGAACGGCCCAAACGGTGAGGACAGGAAAGGTCAGTTGCATCCGGATTCAACCCATAAAACGTTCTTTTCACTCACATACAGCAGTACCCCTGGACCCAATGCCCTCTGCTCATGATGAGCTTGATACTGCTGAGTAGATCAACTCAGTATTACGTTCCTTCGCGCTTTCGACCCATGTCTCCCGTTGTCATTCTGTTTTCGTCTACTGAAGGTGTCCTTCATTGCGGTTGTACCAACTAGGGGGAGGAGACAAGGTTATCGCCCCAGTATTACTTTTAATACATCCCTGTGGCATAATCATATTTCTTCCCCCGCCCCTTTGCCTCTGTGTTTCTGATTACAAACCGCGTGAAGCTTGCTCATCGGGACAAGCTGGGGCCAAGTGAACGTGTGAAGCCTGCTTTTCCCTGACCTTTTTTTTTTTTCGATCTTGCTTTTCCCCGAGTTATTCCCAATATTTTTTTTTTATTTGAGGTTGGTAATTTATCCTGGTCAGCAGCTCGGATCCCACCGAAGCGAACGTCGAACGATCGTTCCAAGTCCGCGCCCAAAAACCACGATGAATTCCGTTTCGCCCTCCGTCTTGTTCGCAGTTTAATTTGAAAGCGGTTATTTCAATTCCCTCGCCCTCTTCGACCGGTCGCCATCCTCTAAACCACTGTAGTGCCTTTAGTTGTATGTGAGGTTGATGCTGTTGGGGATCCGTTTTCAAGCATAATTTCCACAACTTGTTGTTAATAACCAAAAGCCACCACAAAAAAAAAAAAAAAAAGAAGCAACAGCCATTTCTTGAAATCCGCATTTTGAAAATAGTTTCGTATTATAGCCATGACATGACGTAGGTGGGGAACAGAGGGGAACAGAGGGGAACAGAGAAGAGTCCCATTGGAAGTCTCGTACTTTTTATTCAACTTTCAACTTTCAACTTTCAACTTTCAACTTTGAGCTACCTTCTACTATGGGTACTATGGGTACTATGGGTTCAGCAAAACAAACAGGAATCAACATTGCAATCGATGTATTAACCTTCTGCCCCCCACCTTTTACTTATCCAGAAGACTGACATGGTAAAGAGAGGTGGGACATTTACGGATTGCGTCGGAAATCCGGGGACGGGTCGCTTGGAAGATGACATTGTGATTAAACTGCTCTCAGAAGACCCCAACAACTACAAAGATGCGCCTTTGGAAGGAATCCGGCGCATTCTTTCCAAGTTCACAGGCCATGAAATCCCTCGTGGGGAACCTATCGATACTTCTTTGATCCAAAGCATCCGCATGGGCACAACTGTGGCAACAAACGCGCTGCTTGAGCGGAAGGGAGAGAAGGTAGTGCTGGTGGTAAGCAAGGGCTTCAAAGACTGCCTCGAGATTGGAAATCAGTCTCGTCCCAGAATATTTGACCTTGCCATCAAACGTCCCGATGTCCTGTACGAAGAGGTGATGGAGGTGGACGAGCGTGTCACTTTGGAAGACTATGCAGAAGATCCGCAACGAAACGTCACTACCACTAATATCCGGGAACAGACCCGGGCAGAAGACGACGACGTTGTTTGCGGTCTTTCTTCGGAAGCAGTTCGCATACTGAAGCGTCCATCTGAGGACTTGGTGAGATCCCAATTGAAAGAGGTATACAGCCGCGGGATTAGAAGCATAGCGGTATGTCTTATACATGGGTATACCTTTCCAGACCATGAGGCACTGGTGGGAAGAATCGCCAAGGATATTGGTTTCCACCATGTGAGTTTGAGCCACCAGCTCATGCCGATGATCAAACTTGTGCCGAGGACCACTTCAGCCTGCGCCGACGCATATTTGACCCCTGCCATCAAGAAGTATATATCTGGATTTCAAGCCGGATTTGAGGGTAGTCTAGGTAGTGAGAGTGTCAAACAACAGGCGGGCTCCAAAGGCGCACGCTGCGAATTTATGCAATCAGACGGGGGCCTTGTGGATGTCAACCAATTTTCAGGCCTACGAGCAATTCTATCGGGGCCTGCTGGCGGAGTGGTGGGATATGCGTTGACTTCCTACGATCCTGTGTCGAAGACACCTGTAATAGGGTTTGATATGGGAGGCACGAGCACGGATGTTAGCAGGTATGGATCCGGCCGGTATGAACATGTCTTTGAGACAACCACCGCTGGAGTGACAATCCAGTCCCCTCAGTTGGATATCAACACCGTTGCTGCAGGTGGCGGCTCGAGGTTGTTCTACCGTAACGGCCTCTTCGTCGTCGGTCCCGAGTCAGCAGGAGCTCACCCAGGACCGGCGTGCTATCGCAAGAGTGGACCACTCACAGTAACTGATGCCAACCTGTTCCTTGGGCGATTGGTCCCAGACTTCTTCCCGAAGATTTTCGGCTCAGATGAAACCCAGGGTCTGGATGAAGACGTCAGTCGGGTGTTGTTCGAGGAGCTAACCAAAGAGATCAACCAGCAGTTGACCAAAGGGGGCCAAAGCCGAGAAATGACCCCTGACGAGGTTGCCTTTGGTTTCATAAAGGTAGCCAACGAGACAATGACCCGGCCCATTCGATCACTCACAGAGGCCAAGGGCCATGACACCTCAAAGCACAGGTTGGCTACGTTTGGAGGAGCCGGAGGCCAGCATGCCGTTGCCATTGCCGAGAGCCTGGGGATTCGGCAAATCTTGATTCATCGGTATTCCTCGGTGCTCTCGGCATACGGAATGGTACTGGCAGATGTTGTTGATGAAAATCAAGAGCCTGAATCAAAGACCTGGGCTGATGATGATGGCAAGGAGGGGGTTCGGTATGCACTTGGTTTGAGAATAGAAGACTTAAAAAAGCGATCCACGCAGAGGTTGCGAGACCAAGGCTTTGACAGTGATTCAATCGTGTTTGAAGAA